GCATACCAACAAATAACGATTAGTATCTATAACAAAAATATTGTTCTATGGAGTTGATTTAACTTCCAACCATGTATTTTTAAATAATCTTTAACGTTTTCTGGCTAGTTACGTTAGATTTGATTAAAAATACCCATTCTACTTGTTAATATCGTTAGATTTGATTAAAAATACGCATTCTACTTGTTAACATCATAAATTAAATTTGCGATAATTTGAGCAGAGAAGTTCAACGACTGGATCACTGTGTACAGAAGGTTGATATGCCAGAAAACACTTTCCAGAGAGCAATATATCTTTGATAAGTCGCTCCACGATATTGTTGCTTGGACCATCGACTTCCTTTGATATTACATATTTACATCTTATTTTGTTATGAAATGATATTTTTTCAGAGTAAAATTGTTTTCTCATTTTCTGCATCCAGCATCCACATTATAGTGAGTAAATATACCATATTACTTCATTGCTTACGAAATGCTAGGAAGGTTTGAGTAGCTTTGGGTCTTTAGTGGACAGAATCTCCAATAGATGGGGCGAGAGTCGCCCCATCTCTCTCGACCGGGCGGGACTCGAAACTTAAATTAAAATTGCTATATCATTGGTCTCCAACATGATATATTTCCTTTGATGCACTCACAATAACGATTATAGCTCTGTCTTTCTGGAGGCATGTAATATTTTAGGCTTTATTAGCGTATCTTTGTTAATTACACAACATATTGGCAAGTGCGTAGGCGTCTGCACTCCATGACCGAAAAGCTACTGAACGCCACTATAAAAACATATATATCTTCACTTGAGCTTTAAATATGCCTAATGTAATGTATTTAAAATAAAGCTTATATTTCTATCTTTCTTAAGACGTGTAAAACATTTGTGTTTATTAACGAATTTACGTAAAATAAACATTCTTCTGAGAGAGTTGCTCTGTCGCTCAGTCTTTGCGGGGGTCGGAGCTCGGCGATTATTAAAATACATGAATCTTCATTAGAACTTTAATTATGTCTATGATAAAGTGTTTAAAATGAGCCTTATATTCCTATCTTTCTTGAGGCATATAAAAAATTTACGATTATTTACAAATTTACGTGAAATAAGCATTGTTCTGAGAGAGAGTTGCTCCGTCGATAGATCTGTCCGGAGTCGGAGCTCGGCTATTATAAAAGTACACGTATCTTCGCTTTAAATTTAAATATGCCCATGGTAAGGTATTTAGAACGAAGCTTATATATCTGTCTTTCTTGTGACATATAAAACTCTTACGTTTATTAAGGAATCTGCGTGAAATAGGCATGGTTCTGAGATGAATGCTGCGGTTTTCGAGTTTGAAGAGCGATGAAAACTGCCACTTTTATACAACTACAAATATCTTCGGTTTTACTTAAAATATTTGTCTGGTAGAAGTTTTACATATAGATCGCGTTTCTGTCTTTCTTCTGACTAATAAATAGTTTTGGTTTAATCAGTTATCAAGATGTTTTCAACAATATTCTTTCAGCGTTCGTCTTTTCCAACTTGGGCGACCCTTTTGGAAGCGCGATACTTGGGTTAACCCATCCTATAGTTGGGTCTGTTTCCAACTGGGGTTCGAATAATACCATCAAATCACATATCAGACGACTTGATGTGACAACATATATTGAATTTTGTAACTAGCTCATCAAGATTTTAACTTGCTTAGCTAAATGAATTGTGGGGTTCAGTTCCTGAGCCCATTATGTGCCTCTGTAACCCTTTCCACTACCGCCCACAAGATGGGTATGGGGTGCATAATAAATGACACGTCACCCTATCCCCACTGGATTTTGAAGCAATAAACAGTATACCTATGCACTCTGCACCAGGCCCTGATTCTTGGAACTCCATATTCATCAAGAACTGTAAAAACCACTATCGCAGGCCCTTCACATTCTTTAGAGACAAAGCCTAGATACTGGCATTATCCCTGACATACTAAAATTACCAGAGATAGCACCATTCCATAAAGGAGGAAATAAGGCAGAGGCAAAAAATTACAGACCGACTAGCACTAACATCACACATCATAAAAATCTCTGAGAGTGTGCTAAGATCACAAAATACATGGAATCACAGCATCTCCGTAACCCCGGACAACATGGTTTCAGAACAGGGCACTCTTGCCTGTCAAGAGCGCTTCCATGGCATTAGATGCCATGGAAGACAAACAAAACGCTCATGTAATTTACACAGATTTCGCAAAAGCCTTCGACAAATGTGACCATGGTGTTATTGCACATAAAATGTGTTCAAATGGAATTACCGGAAAAATAGGCAGATGGATCTACAATTTCCTGACACAATGTGTAATAGTCAACAAAATAAAATCCGGTCCATCAATCGTGAAGAGCTGTCCCCCAGGGTACTATGCTTGCTCCAGTACTTTTTCTCATCCTCATATCGGACATAGACAAGGACACAATGTATAGCACTGTATCATCCTTTGCAGATAACACTAGGATTTTCATGAGAGTAGACAATATAGAGGACACGGCAAACCTCCAATCAGATCTTTCTATGGGCTACAGAAAATAATATGTTATTTAACGAAGAGAAGTTTCAGCTCATGCGCTACGGAAAAAAATGAAAATATAAAAACGGAAACCACGTACAAAACTCAAGTCAAATCATAACATGGAACGAAAAGACAATGTAAAGGATTTGGGTGTACTCATGTCGGAAGACCTTACCTTTAAAGAACACAATGAAGTAGCCGTCACAACTGCAAGAAACATGACAGGTTGGATAACAAGAACTTTTCAAACTAGAGATGCTATACCAATGATGATACTCTTCAAGGCTAGTGCTCTCTGGAGTGGAGTACTGCTGCACAATGGCGGCCCCTTTCAAAGCTGGAGAAATTGCGGACCTGGAAAGCGTGCAGAGATCCTTTACTGCTAGAATCCACTCAATAAAACATCTAAACTACTGGGACCGACTAAAGTCTAAATCTGTATTCCCTTGAGCACAGGCAGGAGATACATAATAATTTACACGTGGAAAATAGTATAAGGGCTGGTTCCAAGCTTGCACACAGAAATAACATCACGAGACCAGAAGGCATGTCAGGATGTGCAGAATACTCCAGTTGAAAAACAGAGGTGCAACGGGTACTCTGAGAGAGAACTCTATCAACATCAGAGGCCCGAGACTGTTCAACACGCTTCCGCTACACATAAGAGGCATAACTGGCCGACCCCTCACAGTGCTCAAGAGAGAACTGGATAAGTACCTTTAAAGGATACTTGATCAACCTGGCTGTGATCCGTACGTCAGGCTGAGAGCAACCGCGTCCAACAGCCTGGTTGAATAGTGCAGCAACGAGGAGGCACCCCATTAAGGGCACAAATGGTTGCTCCGAAGAAGGGTTTAATGGTATCTGGGATCAACCCAGAGAGGCAGTTGTTGACATACTTCGTGACCTCTGACAGTAGTATCTCGGCAACATCGCCGAGAACTGGGTTCGGCATCTCCTTGAGGTGCTGAGGTCTTACTCCAGTGCATCCCCCTGCTGAGCCTCGCAAGTGACATGATGGCTTTGTATACCTCTGACGCTTGGAGAAATAGAGGTCCCATATCTAGGACATTTTGTGTCCCGAGCAATGGGTTCCCATGGTACTCTGGGAGGGTGCTTCTTTCTCAATGAGTCGGCAGTAGTGGTAATTCTAGGCGAGATTAAGGCATCCATAATCGAGTTTAGACAGAAGGAGAGGAGCGTGTCTATCCAAAAAAAAAGTATGGGACAAGACCCAAAGCTTTACTCCAAAGGAATGACTAGAGGAAGCTTTGTAGGAAGAGGCAGATTACCACGAAAGCCAAAATAACAGAGTTGGGATATGGTGTCATGCCTTTTCAGGTCAAAAAGGACAGCAACAAAGGAGGGCATCGCAACAAAAGCAGTACAAATATAGGCAACCAAGGGAAGCAATTTCCTTTGCCGTACTCTACCTCCTGCTTACACACAGTGGTAAACAGACCTTCATACAAATAATGTCTTTGTACTGTATTACATGAACTAGTAAGACTGCTCAAAGTCTAGAATTTACTACAAGCAAAGTAGTAAGTAATTACCCATTCCCTCCAGTACCTATCACCCTTATATATTTTTCCTTGTGACAACTTAATATCTATTATCATACACAACATGGATTAAAGTTTAACGGAACATGATAACTATACATGTACTTATTTTCACCAGCCAAACTTAATATATTCCTTAGTGAAAGTGGCCGTTACAAACATGTTTATAACGAAGATAATGAATGACCCACAACCACATTTAGAATGTGTAAAATAGACCAGTTGTATATTTAGCTTCATTATTTATTTAAGGCTTTAACTCCAGACTTCTTCATGAGTACCATGTTCAATGACTTTAGTACAGTTTCTGAGTACAGCATGGAAAACAGAAGGTAAGACATTGCATGTGCAGTAGCATGGAGAAAGTTGCTGCCAGTAGTCAATTTTGGGTTTTTATGTACACTGAACGGCTTCACATTCCAAACTTCAGCCACAATAAATAATGGACGGAAAAAAAAAATCAAAATTGACAAATAAGTACAAGTAAAATGTTTAGTTTGCATTTTTTATAATAAATCTCCTACATTAGGCAACTTTCCCAATACGTAATTGTATATATTTGTATTTACACCTTACAATTATACTATGTAACATGATCACATTACTATGAACAAGTGCCTTTGGTAATGCACCATCACCTCACAAAACTTTCAAATTTGAATATACCTCCTTCAATTCTCCATACCCTGATAAGCTATCACATGTTCCACTTTGTACTATGGTTTATCTTTAGTTAAGATTGCACAGCTCTAAATGCACTTTACCCTAGTACTTACATTTAATAATTTCATGAAATCACTTGAGAGCACTCAGGATTCTCCTTTAACTTAAATATTGCTGCCCTTTTAACCAATTTTAAAAAATGAATAATTTTCACTTCAAGTTTAATTAAACAAAACTTGATAATTTCTGTTTTTATTGGTCTATGTGTTAATCAGTATCAAGTACAAAATGCGTGGCAAGCCTCCGCTAGGGTAGTGACGGCCATAGTACAACACACAAAACCAAAGACAATATGGGCTTCAGACATATGTACACATGATATAACCATCACTACCCCATCAACCACCTTGACAGTTAATTGATCAATATGTACAACAAAAGCTTTTAGGAGAATTGACACGAAATACTTTATAATGGAAATAATCTTTTGAGCACTACACTCTCGAGAATATCCACAACAGGAATAACAAGAATTAAAAGCTTCGATAGCTTCCATGACAAAAAATTGAACTGGTCAATTCTTGTACAAAACGCGAATAAAAAGTTCATGAAGAGATCTAGTCACAATGCTCTGGCCTTCCCCAACAGCATTTGTATTGGAGAAAGAAAACTTGCCATGTTTAAAGAGAATGATGCTTGATGAGATTGGAACAACGGAGAACTCTTACGCATAGGGATCCCTAACCTTTCCAACTCTGCTGTGGTAAGGGTCCCACAATTTACCGGTGCTACTTGACTAGCAAGAGCAGACCTGAATGGAAGCAGGTCTGTTACTTCAGAAGCAGCACCAGTACGTGTAGCACTTCCTAGTCTAGCCTAAGCTTGGGAAGTCACGCTCATCATCCATTTTGGGTGCCTCTTGACGGCTCATCCCTCTTCCCCCACGGGAACCAGGGCCGCCCCGGCCACGTTCCCCACGACCACGCTCCATTCCACCACCACCCCGCCCTCCTCCACGTTCCATACGATCTCCACCTCGTCCACGCCCAGGACCTCCACGGCCACGGCCTCTTCCACGGCCACGCCCAGGCGAGTCAGCAAATTGGAAATCAATATCAAGAAGAACTTTCCTACGGCCATGGTGCACTTCCTCTTCCTCATCCTCCTCCTCTTCATCAGAATCTTCCTCCACTTTCTTCTTAAGAATGTAAGTTTTCTTCCACTGTGCTGTATTCTCACCCTCACCCGGTCGTCGAATATTGAAGGCAGGCTTATTGCGGGCACCTTGCATGGCCTTCCATTCATCCAATGTCATCTCCTTTGTGCCATCATCCTCCCTGACAACCTCCTCATTCTCTGTAGCAGTAGCCACATCCTCTGGAGCCTAAAATTGATAAAAGATAATTAATTCTTCCCAATACAAGAATAAAAAAAAAAAAATAATCTTAGATATGTCGAGGACCGAGGGTGTGGTTATGGTGGTCACAACGTACGTTGACATCCTTCCATTAATGACATGGGAGGATGGCGAGGTGCTGTGCTCCTTAGTAGAAGGAAAAGGATAGAGAAGAATGTATGGACTACAGCAAATTAGTTTACCAGGAAAGTGTACAATATTGTTTATACAGCACACATCCCAGGCAGAAAGCTACTACTTTATTTATATAAAGGTCCACTGTTCTATATAGTGGACCTTCTATACAAGGGTCCACTAAACTTATGTATGCTTGTCAACAACCATATAATCAATCAAGACTACAATTTCAGCATTATCCTGTACCTAACAGGAACACCAGCTCTAATTATGATTTTAAGCAAATAAAAATACAAAATAGAACACAGGCAAACCTTTTCCACGTTTTCTGCCGATGTGTCAAGATCTGAAGCAGTAGGAGTAGCATTTAACTGTTCCTCAATTTGGTCCTTGTCTGATCCCCAATTGTAAGATCCAGAGCCTTCTCGCTTGTCAACAGACTTCACTCCTGTTGTAGCCATTCCACTCTGGCGATCAAACTCCCGTTTCCCTCGACTGTCAGGGCCACCGGGAAGACCACCACGACCTCGGCCACGTCCCCGTCCCATGCCACGTCCTCTTCCTCTTCCCATGCCACCTCGGCCTTCACCATCAAACCTAGAATCAATAGTCCATAAATCAATACCAAACACACACACCCTTAAAACTAGAAATAGCCAGAAGGTAGCCTGTGAAATACTTTTAATACCATTTCCGTTAGATAAGATTCACAAGTGCTGGTTGCCTATAAAGGGATTTTGACAAACATTAAAATTTCAAAACTAAAATTAGCCACACATCCTTCTTCAGTCTTGACGGTAACTATTACCAGGATAAGACCAGTATTATCTCGACGCCTTCATTTAGATCATATGGGGCAGACTCTGATCCGAATTATCTGAAATTTCACGCAGTATTTACATTAAAGTATTATTCCCACAGTAAAACTTGCCCCAATGGGCAAGCTTATCTTTCATAAAAATACATAAAATAGAATTACAATAACAAGTATCAACTTATTTTGGTGGGATGTAATAGCTATCTTGACCACTGAAAGAGTAACTGTACATTAACCTAATCAAACCCTGAAATTACTGTACAAGTACTTTGTAATTATCACTCATCCATTCAACCAGAACCTAGTCAGTCAGCCAGGCCATCAGGTTACTGCCAAGCTGGACAAACAGGCTAGTCTAGCAAGACAGACATCTCAACATCCTCCTCAATTTTACCTCTCAGCCACTGCTTTGCACTTTGTCACGCAAGTTAGCAGCTTCTGACCCACCTTTCCAGCTATGTTGAACATGTTCATATTCAAATATAACCAGGGACTGCAATTACTTATCAGTTCACAATTAAAAAAACTACTGATAACCACAATGAATTGTTAGTAAAATTTACCTACTTGAGTTGTGTGAAAGTTTAAATTCAGCTTTAAATTCATACTTTAAATAAAGTATTCACTATAATATATATCCAAAAACTGATAGGTAACATTAATTAACTTATTTAGCCTCCAGTCATAAGCACTGCCAGAAAGATGAGGGCAGTACTCAGAAGCAATGCATCAGACCGGAGAAGTGTTTTTAGTCTAGTACCGTACTGTTCAGTTCTTGCACCAGTACAGTAATGTTCATCAATCTACCAGGACTACATAATTTTGTGAACATGTTTGCTAAATATGCCAAACTATTGACGATAAGAGACACGACTGCCCTTCAAGATGACGTACACAAGTGTTCAGAGCAACACTTCAGCCGAAACTGAAAATCAGGAGCCCTGGGCGATGACCGGGCCGTGGGGATGCTAACCTCCGAAACATTAAAAAAGGCAACCCATCACAAGGTAAGCCTGCCTGCCACCTTGGTGCAGAATGTCCACCTGCCTTCATACTTTCAAATGGGACCAAAAGGACTTTAGTATCTAAATGGGATAGGTTAGGAAGGACAAATCCATAGTTTCACTACTAGATATAGTAACTAGCAAATGCAATAATTGATAACATAATAACTCATGTATAAATTTTGGTACAATACTACTACCTATGCTACCAATTAGCAATACAGATTAAAATCCCGTGGTTAAAACTCATTTTCAGTTTGTGATTCTTCACTATCATTAAAAAACTTAATAGGTTAACTGAACTTATTTAAATCCACACAAAACCATGAGACTATCTGATCAAATAAACTGTTGAAGCCCCATGACTAACCTAGGCGGTGGTGGGCCATCTCTGAATTCACCACCTTCAGGTCGGTTACGTCTATTATTTCTTTCTTCCCGGTCCGAAAACTTAACACGGCCATCATTTGAGCGGGGTCCTCTTGGCTGAGTGGCTGAAAATAAAAATGGTTTATAATGAAACTATAATCACCTGAATTATAACTGCATGTTTCCATTTCATATAGTCAATCTGGAAAGGCATTCTTGAGATGTAGACTTACAGAATGAATTAAAATGGAATACATTAACCTATACAATGAGCTATTTGCAGTTCCTTTCTGCATTTATGGGCAATAAATTAAAATCTACAAGTAAAAAAAAGCTGTTACATTTGAACATTTGTTAACATAATTAGTATTCACACAAAATGAGTACACCGAAGTCATCTCCCTTAATTTGGCTGACATTTAACTAAAAGTAGTTAATTATTTGTTTATAGAGCAAAACTTTGGTGTACATTATACGATTTTAGCACTGAAATGGGAGCATGATTGTTCCATTGTATATTAGATGACAAAAAGTATACACAATAAATGTAATTGGTATGATTAGGTACAGGAATAGCATTAGTGTAAAAGTTAGTCACTCACCAAGATAGAAAAAACTTACTTTCTGACAAGTAAAACATCAGTTTCTAAAGAAAATATTTTTAAAATATTTCTATTAATGCACATTTTTTTTATTTTTTTTTTATAATGCATAAATGGTTTATGCAAATGTGTTTAACTGAGCTAAAATCTTGTCATAAGCCAGAGCAAAGTGGGGAGAGGAAGTAGAAAAGCTGTGTATCTTGGTTAATCTGCAAATACTTAAGTGATGTCCATGTAACTCAATACTGTACCAGACAAAATGTTCCCGACAGGATTCTTAAAACATCCCTATTAGAGTTAGGGAAAGAGGAACCCCTAACAGGGATATTTAAAACATCTTAATAGAACAATGCGACAGTATAATTCAAATTCAGCATTATTACTACCCCATTGACCACTTTCTTAGGGTGGGGAAGGCACCAGCATCAAGACAAATGGTGAACAATCCTGTGAAAGTTCATAGATATTAATAATAATGAACTCAAGTCATTGCCACAATTGGTTACATGACAAAGTTTTACCTGTTGTTGATTTTGAGAGCTCTTCTACTCCAGTACTTCTACTGGGGCCAAGCTTCCCTGGTCCAAGAAGCTGTTTGCCTTCGTAACCTGTAGGGCAACACAGCCATCACAATCAGGCTGATCTGTTAACTCCTTAGCTTAACCAAACTCATCCAGAAACAAATAAGACAGGTTTATGTAACGAGTTGCAAATGGGGTGACGGTTGGTTGTGCACCACACGCATGCCTTGTAACCCCTTTCCAGCATTTTCAGGAAATATAATATGAAGGGAAATTTACCCAATAACAACCATATTACTAAAGCATGTACTCTTGATACATATAAAGTCCTTTGGTGGAACTGTAGACTTGGAAGGATGATCTCATCCGAGTTGATTACTGAGGGACAGTAAACTGAGTGTGCAATTTTGATGTGAAGTAAATAAATGCATGTTTGCACTCACTCTGTGCTGAAGATGATGTGACATCATAATGAACTGTATTCCTGCAAATTATTGTGAACTGTTGCTCGAGTATAAACACTGTACATGTAAGCCCCTCCGAACTTGTACTGAAATACAAATAAATAAAATAAATACACAAATGTTTACGTGCTAGACAAGCCAAGTCGGCAAATAGGCTGTGTAAGGTATTGGATAATAGATTCATGTATATGAACATGACAAAACATTAAAATTGGCACCAGTACAAACTCAGCAACTGTTCCATCAAAAATGTTTATTTTGTGATTGCAACTTTTGTTTTTTTTAGCTAACAGATACAAATAATTTAGCATTTTGCCCATTTGATAAAAGCCTTTCATGGTAATTATGGTCACCATACAACTTCAGTCTATTTAGCTACCAACATTCTTTAAGTGGCCGTGCTATTCATTTTTTTTGCATAATCCACAGGGTCAATGCTCTAACTTTTGTTAATCACATGAGGGTCACTTGAGTAAGGTGCCCCTTCGTCTCCTACAATACATTAGCATCTAACATCAGTTTACTTCCCATGTACAGTAATATTTATCTTTTATAATCAAATATTAAGTTAGGTCAGTAAGGAGGCATATCTGCAACATATGTAATATATGAAAACTGGTTCGATTTCAATCGAACTTTTTTGACTAGGTGTATATGAAATTCGCTTCAACTGATCCAAATCGCTGCGCAGCATAAATAGGAAGGGAGAATTTTTAAAAATTTGTTTAACATGCAATTTGCATGAAACTTGTACACCTGACTGCACGTAATCCTTTCTGTAAGGGTACCAATTTTGGAGGAAATTGGTTAATATCAACCTCAGTCACAGATGGCAGCACCTTAGACTTAATTTCTTCATAACTTCCTTCTTTCAAGTAACAAACGCAACTATTACTCATTTTTTTTTACTCAATTTACATGAAACTTAAACCTGATATGTAGTGTCTACAATCTATCAGAAGTTTTTTCCTAAGTTAATTTATTGATTTTAAGTAGTAATAAACATGATATATTTGCATAATTTGGGGAGGGGGGGAACTTTGACTATTTATTTTAGTCAAACTAAACATTTTGGAAAATCCAGCAACACAAATCATTTATTATATGCTAATGTGATAGAAGAGTTTCATAGAAATAATTTAATTTGAAACTTGTGGTTGTAGTAAATTGTTGAAAATGTGTAAAATTCGTTGAAAAAAATTCTCCTGTTCTATTTAGCTGCGATACTGAAACTTGGAACAGTTGCAGCCCATTTCATATACAACTAGTCAAAAAAGTTTGGTTGACATTGAACAACTATTAATATTCACAGATATGCCCCTTAACTCATAAAAGTTTAACTGATCTGTGTTTGTCAAATGTCAGAGCGATGGTGCTTAGGCTAGTTACAGCCAACTTTTGAACATGAAACGTGGGTCGATTCCATCAACAATACTATATTTATCTGATGAAAGATGATCTCAATGAATTTGAGCCAGAGGCCAAATTCGCATGGAACAGAGACAGACCTTGAGAATTTTGTGTCAATTAGATATATAGTCCGTTAAGGATGACACCACTAGAGTTTGACAGCTACCGCAGAAAGGAGTGTTATTAGTAATAAAAAGATGTCTTGAGGACAGTCTCCTGTCTTTCAGTCACTAAAACCAAGACCAGAAGTGCATTTTCAAACCTAATGAAAATGCCAATAACATCCCAAAGACACACGTGCTAACTTGCATATTAATAGCCATAACAGTTCAGGAAGTACTTTCAATTTCTTTTTACTAAACATGTGTGTTTGGTTTTAGTCTATGAACATGGAAAGCAAAATATAAAAATAAAATTGAAATCAATCTCTGGAAACCCACAAGCCCTAACATATGAGAATTCGGTACAGTATGTGCTCGCTTTAACCCCTGCACTGTGCACCCGTTTTTGACAAAGTCATGGTACAGTTATTAAGGACATATTTTTGTTTTTATAAATGTTCAGCTGATGTTAATGTCAAAATTTTCATAATTTTCATTTCAAATCACAAACAGCGATAAAAACCTTAAAATACAGTATGGCCTAATTAAAAAAATACCCACACAACCCCCAGAGCTTTAAGGTGTTTTGCACAGTGCAGTGGTTAATGAACTACTATACGCCATGACCTAATATTACATTCCCGTCTTTCAGTCACTAAAAGCAAGACCAGAAGTGTATTTTTAAACGGAATATCATTGTTGTACTTAACCATGCGATTAAAAACAATAGGCGTTATCTTGAGGTTATCTTGAGATGATTTCGGGGCTTTAGTGTCCCCGCAGCCCGGTCCTCGACCAGGCCTCCACCCCCAGGAAGCAGCCCGTAACAGCTGACTAACACCCAGGTACCTATTTACTGCTAGGTAACAGGGGGCATTCAGGGTGAAAGAAACTTGCCCATTTGTTTCTGCCTCGTGTGGGAATCGAACCCGCGCCACAGAATTACGAGTCCTGCGCGCTATCCACCAGGCTACGAGGCGTATAAAAAATACAGCAGCAGAACAGTAACTTCTGTACATGAACAAAAAGTATACCAATCACCTCCCCTGAAAAAAGCTGTCTAACCCAGTCACTCTAAAATGCCAAAGATTCAGCGCAACTTCAAAGGAGTTTAGTAGCTCGTCTCTTAAGTCTTGTATGTCAAAAGTTAAGATACAAACACTACCAATACATTAAAGTCGGATTTTCTGGTGAAAAAATTTATGCCTGATTATTATACAGTATTCTAATTTTTTTGAAATAAAATAATGAAAAATGTTTTCTAATAAATATTTACTAGATGGGGTACCCTAGGTCAATCCTCCTCACAGCTGAAAAACTCTGGAAAACGAACCCTAATTTTTAACTTTACAAAAGCTGATCCTTCTTGAGGGACGGGAGGGCGGCTCCAACAAAACCAGCTATGATCTCTGACCCCCCCCTATATCAGTCCACTAGTTACGCATCATCCTACCACACGAGACGAGGTTCCACCAAAATGTACGGCCTCCAACCTCTTTTTTTTTTATTTTATTGTTTTAGTATTTATTTAATTAGTTTTATTGGTCTACAAGATAGGGTATCTAGCAGTGCCCAGGACTATCCTATCCCCCCCCAAACTTTTCTCTTGGAATGTTATGTTGGAATGCAGAAAAACAGCTGAAATCTATTAAGGAAAGTTATGACTGGTGCTATGAGAAAAGTATAAGATATGGTTTTAAATTTTTCCAGAAATTAATGCATTAAACATTACAATACTCTTAGGAATATAAATTAGGAAAATCTTTGTTTGAGGCATTTTGCCAAATGGTACTTGGTGGTATGTGCCAAAATTGTCATAGGGTCAACCATGTAATTACCCAAGTGAATTATAGAACAAAAACTATGCTAATGATATCCCCCCCCCCTAGTACTGTCATACAATGCTTTAGAACTAGATATTTCTGGCATCTACTGCCCTCTCACTTAACCTGTTCCTGCCATCCAGGGCAATGGGGGAGGGGGGGTCTCAGATATAAGCCTAACATATACTATGTATCAACGCAGCATTGTCCAACACAATGAATTATTATTGAATTAACAGTGTAGTAATATTTGCAAAAAGTATACTACTGGTTTTATGGGGTTGACCTCATAACCAGCACAGCCTGGAGGAAAATCCAACACAATGACCCTGACAGTGTACCAGGCACCTTTCTCAATTGTAAATGTCGAATACACCTTGTGTTAACTTGGTGAAAGTTAAAAACTTTCATCTTTTGAAAAAGTTGGAGAGAAAACATGCACTACATTGAACTCCCTATTGTAGTGTGTCCCAAAGTGACTAACTTTCATCCTCCTGGACCAAGGTATGCTGAACTGTAAATATTATATGAATACTGGAACACTTGATATATTGGACTTACCCAAGCTTTGTAAAAGCATCTTAATCACCTTCAGTGGTTAAGTATTTAATAACACTAGTTCCTATAGCAGCTATCTTACCTGTCAACATATATATATATATATATATATATATATATATATATATATATATATATATATATATATATATATATATATATATATATATATATATATATATATCTACTTTGACAGGTTAAGATAACTTATAAAAACTATAGCGTATATATATATATATATATATATATATATATATATATATATATATATATATATATATATATATATATATATATATATATATATATATATATATATACACGTGCACACAGGTGTGTATACAGGATATGTGGAAGTTGGCCAGAGTTCCATTTCACTTTTGAAAACGCATATTAATGACACTGTAAAAAGACACCTCGAACGCTGTTTACGTAGGCCAGACATAAATCAGTGTATTTATGTACGTAGATAAGATTAGCATTTTAAAAGCACTACAATCGCCTTCTGTGGTTGATTGTTCGATAAATCCCTGAACTATATGTTTAACAGATCTCTCACCCTGTCCATGGAGGACAGAAGAAAATGTATACATAATGATTAGCATTGTATATGTGTGGCCACTGTAGTGAAAAAAATTACAAGATTATCTTCAATTGAATGAATATTAAAACTCACATTCTATATTCTTAACACTAAATTATCACTATGCTATGTAAATTACACAAGAAAAGCATTAAACTTTCTTTATGACAATATAGAACAATTGAGCATGCATTTTTCTTTTTTTCCTTTTAATTTACAATGAAAAATCACTCAATCAGGTATGCACTGATATGGCAGACCTCAGTGCTAGAATTGAACTTGTAAATATTGTTGCAATTTTGCTGTACCATTACTTAAGAATTTCTCACTAACAATATGTACATGTGCCTACTTATAGCCCAGCACAGTAATATTTGAATACAGTACTGTATTCAAATAAAATAATGCTTAATCAGATTGCATTCCATTAGTAGTGTTCAATGGGCCTGAATGCAATATTCACACTCCTTAGGTAAGGGGTTTCTCAACATGATATTTGCATATAAAAAATTTATATGTCTCAAAGCCTGGATGTAAATTCATGTACTACAAGATAACTAGTATTCAAAATTGTTATATTCCTTAAATTAATAAGGGGTTTCTAGTTTGTCACCATAGCCTAATATACTAATGCTATTTCCAATAATGTGTAGACTAACAAATACCATTGCAAATGCTAGGTTTTGTTATTATGTGAAGATATCAGCGACAATGAGAACATCCCAAAAAAATCTGCCTTGTAGTACACACCTAGATACCCCCTAGGTATCTAGGCCTACGGTCAAAGCCAACGTCCTCCAGGCACCCCCCCCCCACCTCCACATACAAGGGCCTGCAGACTAGGCACCACTGGACCCTGTTCACTGCCTCAAAATCTAACAGGTAACAACTATTTATTAATCTCACTATGACCCCCAAACAATGTGCATGTTGGGCATTATATCAGTCCAAGCCATTCAGAAAAATGAGAAAATCCAAACACATTCCTTGGCAATCTCCAACATATCAAGGTTGAACCAGGAATCACCGAAAATTAATCAAACCTGGTATCAGGATGATTCTGCATGCATAAATTCGCCCACCTTTATTGTAAACACATACAGATTATTTGACTTATTTTGACTGGAATTATTGTATTCCATTCATAACTATCAACAAGTGGGAGTGGAATTTGTGTAACAAAATTTTTACCAATCTATAATTTAGGTTAACATATAGTCAAGGCCATCATTCTGCTTTTAATATACTTTATAACACCAAGACATTAACATGTTTAGTGACTACTATTAAATACCAGTGTGGGGAATAAATAAGCTAATCAAAGTGAATTTTTAACACAAATTTTAAGCATCCTATACTTAACCCAAGCAATGTAAATACTGTACATAAAAGAACAAGCCAATATTATATACATTGGCCTTAGTCCACACTACAGAACTCATTGAAGTTGTGTCTTAACAAGGATTAGCACATACCAGTATATTGCTCTTAATGTGATTAAACTCTATATTGTTAGATTAGACAAGCTATGTATTATTAAATTAAATAATAAAATGCTGGTGAACCAGCTAGTATTTAGAAATAAATTTCTATAAGGCTAATGTAAATAATTACTGGCACAGGATAGGTTACAAGCTGATGGGGCAGAATGGAGGATACAACAGGTTCTTTGCCTTGTGCCACAAATAGGGATGGTTATTTAGTGCAAAGTTTGGTTAGATTAAACATTTTCAAACTGGGGTATGCCTGGTACACAAAGTTATGAATATGTTCCAAGTTTACTGGAGTAAATACAACAGCTCTGGAACACACTAAATGCCATGAGTATGCACACCAAGTATACTAATGCTTCTAGAAATAATTACCAATGTCCTATTTGTCTCATTTCAAACATTCAGGTATTGATGTTTGCCTTTAAATTCTTACTAATCATGACTCCCAGATGACTTTTGCCATCATAACACCATCCAGCCGATATCCTATAATTATCATTACCTAATATTTATCAACATTAAACTGCTTCAGTCAGTCTTCTGACCAATTGTGAACCGATTTAGTCTGAGTATTTCCCTCCTCATTTTTCTAGCATTGGCAAATTTGCAATGTTGCTGCTTAAAAACTGAATCTAAACACACCTAGCCTAATCCAACAAATATCCCTGAAGGGGGGAGGGGACAATCCCACACAGGAATTTTTATTTATTTGTACATTATATACAAGTTCTTATATACCTGATAAATTCCAGGTACTCAGGTACGCGTAAAAATGAGGACCAATAAACATAATACAGAGTACAAAACACAATCAAATGTACCCATAGTAGGAAGTACAGCATGTCACAGATTTGGGAATAATAATGTCGGACGACCTAACGTTTAAGGAGCATAACCAAGCAAATATTGCGACAGCCAGAAAAATGATAGGATGGATTACGAGAACTTTGAAGAATCCAGGGATCCCATCACTGCAATGGTTGTACTCTTCAAGGCACTTGTGTTGTCCCGTCTTGAGTACTGCTCAGTACTCACTTCCCCCTTCAAAGCAGGAGAGATTGCTGAAATAGAGGGAATACAGAGAACATATACGGCACGCATAGACGCAATAAAGCACCTAAATTATTGGGATCGTCTCAAAGCCCTCCAAATGTACTCACTAGAAAGAAGACGAGAGAGATATCAAATAATATACACCTGGAAGATACTGGAGGGCCAAGTACCAAATCTACACAGTAAAATAACAACGTACTGGAGTGAACGACATGGAAGAAAATGTAGAATAGAACCAATGAAGAGCAGAGGTGCCATAGGCACAATCAGAGAACACTGTATAAACATCAGAGGTCCGCGGTTGTTCAACGTCCTCCCAGCAAGCATAAGAAATATTGCCGGAACAACCGTGTACATTTTCAAGAGGAAACTAGATTTATTCCTCCAAGGAGTGCCGGACCAACCGGGCTGTGGTGGGTATGTGGGCCTGCGGGCCGCTCCAAGCAACAGCCTGGTGGACCAAACTCTCACAAGTCGAGCCTGGCCTCGGGCCGGGCTTGGGGAGTAGAAGAACTCCCAGAACCCCATCAACCAGGTATACAAGTTCTTACATTCTTGTAAAGCCACTGGCATGCACAGCGTTTTGGCCAAGTCCTCAATATTAATTTTCCCCGGAATACGACCCACCAAATCGTTTAACAAGCAAGTACCCATTCACAGCTGGGTGAATTGAGGATAAAGTTTAGGATTAGTACCCGGTCAATCCTCCCCGGCCAGGATACGAACCCAGACGAAATTGGTGAAGAATGTCGGGCGAGTGTCTTACCACTGCTCAATTGTTTCATAAAATTAAGTTCCAGATTGTTAAAACTGTATATTGTTTGGTTAGGTTAACTTAGGGTAATGTTGACCAGACCACACTAGAAAATGATGGGACGACGTTTTGTTCCGTCCTGGACCATTCTCAATTCGATTGTGGTCAATTTTTTATCTATCTTGCACCAGTTAAATCAGTTTTTATTTTATAACTTTTTTTTAGCATTTCTGGACAAGATAGGATATTATTGGGTTGGAAAATGTTGAAAATTTGAAACTTGATCAAAGCTTTTCATGAATATATATATAAATGACACCATTTAAGGCTATAACATCTTGACTAGCACCAAGCTTACCAACAGTTCTGCTATCATCCTGTGTTAGCTTCAGAAACAATTCAATAAGCAACTATACAAGAAACTACCGAACATCCTGTACAAAATTAAATCCAATACAATGCTTTACTTCCATAATGTACCCCCAATGTCCACAGACTCTGGGAAAACAACAGTTCTGCAGGAAAAGTGTGTGGAGGGTGAGGGCCCCACAGCAGGCGGGGACCACTACTCGCCACCTCACATGGGTTAACAATAATAAAATTGCAATGTGGAGAGTGCGCCCCTCGTGGCCAGTCGAGCACCTGGAGAGATCCTTCAGTGTCACGCTATTGATCAGGGTGTCACGAGTGCCAGGGACACACACCTGTCCTCACACTCGAGGGATAGGGGGAACTTCACCCTCAGGAAAGGTGATCACTGAAGCAGCTCTCACCCTAGCTATTAATAGCCCGCGTAACCCATGTGTCCCTAGCTTGTGCAAGTGTGCAAGAGAGCAGGTGTGGAGGGGCCACAGAGGGCCTGGCAGGGGCAAGGGGACCCCACACAGGGCCTGGCAGGGACAAGGGGCCCCCACACAGGGCCTGGCAGGTGCTGAGCGCCACCAACACAACAAAGCGGGGCTGCTGCGCACGTGCCTGCTCCAACACCCGCCGCCACAGCCAATATTTACAACACACTAACTACCCTCCTCAACACTCAAAATGTTCCCAACTTGTACCCACTCACCAGGAACACTCGACTTGTCAGAGATCTTGGGAGCAGTTTCCGTCTTCACACCTTTCTTCACTACGGGAGACTTCGCCTTGGCGGTCTTTCCCTTGTTTTCCTTCTCGGAAGCCTTATCCTTAATCTTTTCACTTTGTTTTAAGAGATCCATTGGATCTATATCTTCATCATAGAAGAGTTCGTAACGGTTACGAACCCCTATGCCGTAAGAGTTCTCCATGTTCAGCAAAATCCTCCGATGGTGAGGATATTATACGATTTCCCGGCTGCTTTTCAGCCTTCTCTTCTTCCGATCATCCAAAATGGCGTGAGAAGACTGGACCTCAAACTCTGGGTTACTGACAAATCGGGCGGCTCAGGAATCCTGGCTTATATGGCATTGTATTGCACTGAGGTATTATTGAAATAATACATTTCATATTTCGAACTAAATTTATATTTTAACATCAAATTTATATAAATTAAATTTAAAAGTTATATATTTAGAATAGTAATTGAGGTAAAGTACAAAAATGTTTGTAGCTCGTCAGGTAATGATATGGCGGGAACCATGTGCCTATTAATAAAACTTTTTCTACGTTTACCAAGAAGTCCTCACTAATATATTTGAATGTGCACAGACTATAAATATAATTTTACACATAGCTGTAATGTTTATTAGTTTTTTATATATAGGAAGAGCCAAAATACATCAATGTTTATGGCGCACCTTACCCGTGGCGACCGGCCAATCAACGCACGAGAAAAACCCCGCGAACAATTCGATTTGTTTTGGCGCTAAAAGATGCTGTAGAGCGCGGTAAATCTATGGTCCCGTAGTGAGCAGTCATGTCGGAGAAGTGCCGTGAAGATTCTCAGTTTTCAACGCCAAAGCGGCATCCCAATGGTGCCATCAGTGGAATGTCGTTTCCTGGGAGTCCCCCGATGAAGGATAATACTCTGTACCCTTGGAACTGGGGAGAAAATGTGTGTAAAGTGGAGCTGAGTAGTCCGTGTTGCAGCAGTGGGAGTAACTCTTGTGAAAGCCCTGATCCCAGAAGCTGTGAATCAAAGAGAGGACGACCGCGGGCGGATGCTATCAATACCCTGATTATCGAAGGTGCTCAGTCCCCCAGCAGCATCAAGTGTCCCATCTGCAACAGAGTGTTTCCCAGAGAAAAGTCACTCCAAGCTCATCTACGGACACATACTGGTAAGAATGGCATTTAACTCGCCATTTTTAAACTGCACCTGTGCTATCATTATTAACAAATGCAGAGGCACTCAGGTGTATTGCAAATGTTATAATGTTCACGAAATGTTAATGTGGATGTTGTAGTTCATACCTGTTGATAACTAATGTATTTGACCTTAACGCGTCTGATAAATGACGTCAGGAATCCGGTAACGCTTTTAAACGATCTAAACGGTTCCCCGTTAAAAGGTTGATTACGAAAATAATCACAGATATTGCAATTATTCCCCCCAAAAATTATATATATATATATATTTGCTTTGTGGGAAATCGTGAAGCTTGTGGTATTGTTTGTGACTGTCGAGGGCCGGCCATGTGGCGGGAAACCCAACCCTCAATAATTACCGCCTGTTTTCACTTCTTCCCGCCTACTTTTACCCCTTTAAGTACTCCAGTTTTTTGAAGCAAAAGATGTTCAATCGTGAGGGTTTTCGTATTGCATGAATATTTCCCTAGAAGAGTGGTGTAGTGCGGCATGAGACGGTGGGCCGCCTTCCCACGCCTCTACCTTCCGGAAACTACACATCGTATTTTTGGTCTTATTATTTATTTTGTTATAAAGGTTCCCAATCATGCAAGTATGTTCAAAGCAAATACACATGTAATTACGAGTTGCTTGATGGCATGCGGCGGAGTATTTAACGCGGGGAAGGCGAGGTTGAAGGCGGTATATGGAGGCACCACAGAACTAGGGCGGGTATTCTTAGGCGCCAAAATGTATCAATGCTCATCATCCTCCCGGTTAAATTGTTTCCCATTTGATCTATTCTCCGAGCAGAAATGAGCATTTAATTGTTATTTTTTGTTTTGTTTAATTATTTAGTAGCAGCCTTTAAAAATGAAGGCGGTAGCGTGGTCCAAAATTAAAAGGCAGGAGAGGAATGTGAGGCGCGGCGGTGACCGCCCGGGAGGCCTCGGGGAGGCGGGTCCCTCGACGCCTATATAATTATCTTGGGGCGGGCTGGGAGGACTATTAGTCTAGGCCTATGGAGGTATCCCATGGCAAAGGTTGTAAGGCTCTTTGTGCGGTCACGCCTGTCCAGTGCTGGTATCTGGAGAGGCCAGGTGACATTTTAAGAAAATGTGGGAGTTACCGGATTGGCATCTATAGGGAGGCTTCTTGATTGGTATTCAGAGGTAGGTTTCCTTTCTGGCATCTGCTAGGGAAGGCTTCCTGATTGGCATTTATGGGGGGAAGGCTTCCTGCCTGGCATCGATGGGGAGGATTTCCTGACTGACATTCATGGGGGGGGGAAGGTTTCCTTTCTGGCATCTATGGGGAAGGGTTTCCTTTCTGGCATATATGGGGAAGTGTTTCCTTTCTGGCATCTATGGGGAAGGGTTTCCTTTTTGGCATCTATGGGGAAGGGTTTCCTTTCTGGCATCTATGGGGAAGGGTTTCCTTTCTGGCATCTATGGGGAAGGTTTCCTGTGGCATCTATGGGGAAGGCTTCTTGTCTGACATCCACGGGGAAGGCAAGAAGGAAGAAGATCTTACAAAATTTGAAGCCAAACCATTTCCATTTGTGGTGAACCAGCTACTGTACTAACAGATTTCATTTGTATTAAGTTTGTAATGAAGTTACAAAGGCAGTATGTCTTATAGTATTGTAATGTTAGGATACAGTATATTGTTATTAGATAAACAAGTAAGATGCATGCAGGTAGTGGAAGCTTAAGGGACAAGATGTACACTATCTACAATAAGCAAACTTGAGATATTTAGCTAGGAGTTTGGGTTATGTCGTCTATGATTAAATACTGTACATGGATATTTCTTGAACATGTGTGGTTTATAACAAATTTCCGTCATAGCCTGCGCGAATAGTTTTGCTTGCAGAGCAGCAGTGGTGTGTTGGTCCAGTACAGTCTGAACATCAGGTCGAGTCCTGCATCAGCTTACTCCCAAAAAATGTACTTGCATATACAGTATAATAAGTTCATACACTGCTTGACGAAGCAACTTGCAATGTTAGCCAACTTTAAGTTCAGTACTGTATAACTAAAGATAGGCCTGCATATGCAATGAAGTGAATAGAAGGCTGGGTATAATTTGAACATTTAAAATATTGGGAAAATTTGGCCCCTAAATTTTTGTCTCAAGTTTTTGATGTAGATGGTTTATAAAAGTTTGTGTATGAGTTGTCAATGATGAATAGTACAGTACTTAATTGATCTGGCATTAGTGTTAAAAGATGACATGTAGTAATTTACATAGGGTATTTGTTGCAAGTATTAACTGGTCATATTAAATTAATGCATATTCAATGATGGTGTACAGAAAGTAAGTCCTTGGCACTTACCAAATTTGCCCATATGGTCAAATTTATCAGAATTCAGTATACTGTATTTTCAAGGTTAATCCCATGTTGTACTTAAAATGAAATTGGATTAAAATGAAATTTGCACAACTTACAGTGGGGGAAATTTTGATTTAATGAAAATTTTTGATTGGCAGAAAGAATTTGCTTCTCCCAAAAAAGATTGTTCAGAACTTCTGCTTGCCATTGCATTGGTTGCAACACTTGGCAGCATAGACAATTGCAGATATGAAATTGGTGGTACTTGATCAAGGCAACACATTTATAAACTAAACTGTCAAATGTGCTTCAGATGCATTTGAAAAACTACAGTGTAAGATACAGGAACCTGTGTTTAACATTTGATTAAAGGTTCAGAGGTTACCTCATAATGATTCCGAGGATCAACGTCCCCGTGGCTCGGTCTCTGACCCGGCCTCCTGGTTGGTGGTCTGGTTGATCGGGTATCCTTTGCAAGAATTTTTTGAGTTCTCTTTTAAACACAGTGAATCCAGCCAGTTATACCCTTATGTGTGACAGGAACATGTTGAAGTCTTGGCCCTCTGATGTTGATAAAGTTCTCTTGAGTACCTATTGCACCTCTGCTTTTAAAAGTGGAAATTTTGCACATCCTGCCATGCCTCCTGATCTCATGTGGTGTTAATTATGTGCAGATTTTGAATTAGTCCCTCTGATATTTTCTAAGGTGAAACCAAAGAACAAAGCACAATTGGACAAGTGCTTCTGTCTTGGTCAATCCTATACCCCCACCTATCATGCCTGTACCCAACCCACTTCTGACTCCCCATTTATGTACACCATTTTAAGCTAATTGTTAACAGTACTGTACTGTATATATAATGTATATTGTACTGTAGTCAAGATACTATATGTATGTTCAAAAGTTGTAAATAGTGAAGAAATTAAATTTGTGTGTAAGGATGAGTCCTATTTAATCCCTAGATCTCAGGATTATTGAATCACTAAACTTCCTCAAATTTTCAGGTGAGCGTCCATACCAGTGTGATTTTCCTGGGTGCACAAAGGCATTTACACAGAGTGGTCAGCTGAAGACCCACCAGAGACTACACACGGGTGAGAAGCCTTTCATCTGCTCTGCTCCAGGTAACAGTTCAATACCTATATCCTTCATTTATTGTTGTGGTAATTACATTTCCATAATTCACTTTTCTTTGTCTTTTCTCTTGATATTTTCTGTCCTCATTTTTTATATTTTTTCATTCTCCCACTTCTGTGAACGTGATCATGTGCAGTGGTACCACATTATCATGCACCTACTGTATTCTTTGATAATTTGTTTATGCCGTACATGATATTGTTTGGCCTTGTGGTATATTTTTTCATGTGGATGTTTTGTTACTATAATGGAATATTTTGTTCATGTTCAGTAGTGCATATGCTATGTAGTCTTCAGTGTAACCTTCATGTTTTGGATCTATATATCTAAATAGCAATCCGATTTTGCTATCGAATTGTCCATAAGAAATATCTGCTTAGTTGGTAGACTGACTGGCTAGAAGATATACAAGCACAACAGGGCTGGGACTGGTCGACCCTGTAAACCCATCTAATAGTCTACTACTCGGGTCATTAATAATAATTATTTTCAAAATTAAATTCTATAGATGATTGAAGGCTGATGTTTCATTTTTCCTTAAATGTAGGCTGTGATCACTACTTCCAAGAATCCCCTTACCACTTTGCCACACCCTGCATACTCTTCAATTCAATTTCTTTATTATGCACCCCATACCCATCCTGTGGGCAGTGGTGGAAAGGGTTACAGAGGCATATAATGGGTTCAGGAACTGATTCCCCCTAGTTCGTTAATAAGTCTTGCTCCACACCCACCCACAACTGGGCGGCAGCTTTACAGTCATGCATGCATTACCTACAGTAAGCATATTTCGGATACTTCACTAAAAATTCCTGGCAGTACGTCATTATGAATGAAGCTCTTACATATTTCTTGGACTCCATTGATGGTGTTATCTCTGAATTCCGCAATTTTTTCACATTCCATTATATAATGATGCAAAGTATGCGAATACAGTAGTTCTGCTGACAGTTTACATTTAGTCAAATCTACATTAGCAGAGGTACTTGTAGCCAAGCCTAAGCCTAGCAGTGGTAACATCTAGAAGTCTGCTAACCCTTATCGTTCTTAACTAAACTATTTAGTATGTGCTGTTTGCTTATCGCAAATTAACAAGGCAGTATTTCTGTTCTATTCCTGGTAGGCTTTATGTATTTTTGTCAATCTAGTAATCTACATTTGTCTGTTAGACTAGAGAGCAATGGAGGAAAGGAGTAATAACTACACACAGAAACATAGACTGAAAGATGGAAGGCAGGAGGCAGACATCCCTCAAGGATGACTAGACTCCAGACACAGGTAACCTCACACCAGATTATAATGTAGGTGGATTAGAATGCATTTAAATGTGTTACTTAAAACAGACATGGATATTGAATGGGAAATAGATGAGGTGATGGGGTAACTTATTACATGGATGGACAGACATGGCTAGATGGAAATAGGAATTGATAGGTAGATGGACTGATAAACGGATGGACATAGGTTTAAAGGTGGCTAGATTGGAGAGATGATAGACACTTGCCCTTCTGAACATTGCAACCCCCAATCCCCCACCACCTACTACAAACATCCAATTATCTTGTGACCTTCTCAACATTCACCTAATGTTGATAGCAGTGGTTAAGCTTCAGCTCTTTGGTCTTGCCTCAGAACTTAAGTTACATGTAATATATCATGACTCAAGTCAGTGGTTGCGGCCTTTCTCTGGGAGTCTTATCTGACATTCAAGCTTTCAGCATTGCTTGCTTTTAGTTTTTCTATATTCACAAATCCAGTTAAGTCCAGAAATTTTGGAGGTTACACTGTATTCAGCATTTTAAGAATGTCTTATTATGTCTATAACTAATGACTTATTACATTTTGCATATACAGTACTGTACAGTATTAATTATTTGATGTGAGTATGTTTACCTGACCTTAGTCATGCATTTAAGAATTTCCAGCTTTGGTTTGTTTTATGATAACTGCCCTCTCCCCTTTACTTGTATACATAACATTAATTGGATAATAGTGGTTTCACACAGTTTTATGTACTTGCTCCTTAGGCTGTACATCTCGATTCACCCATGCCAATCGTCACTGTGCTGAACATCCCTATGCCACTCTGCAGCGGACATCAGATCTAAACATCAACCCACAACTCTCACCTGCAGAGTGTACTGATGACGTAAGTTGCTCTTCTTTCAAATCTAATTAAATCACTTTCATTTAATAAAATTCATATGCAAGTAAATGGTGTAATCAAAGTGAGTAACATGAAGACATTTACAAAGTTATTCGTGTCTGCCACCACTAAGGAAAGGCACCCAGAAAGTCGGCCAAATGAGACAGACCACTGCTTGGTTAGAAACGAAACCACAGTCTCAAAATTGCCAAATGAACTTCCCCAACGATGTTAACAAATGATAATATATTCAAGAAACTAGTGCAAGCTTTATCACCCTACCTTTCCTCCCCCTCATATGTGGGGAGGAAGGAGACAGACCCGGGTCAGCTGACTGAGCGACCTTCAGTTTAGCCAGTGCCTGGTCATTTGTCAGTCGCTCTGGCTCCAGTCTCTTCCTCATTGTGATACCTGTGGGAGGCACTGCCTCCTGCCTAGTGAGTGCCCTTTTTGTCCTTCTCCATGGGTAAATAGCTTCAGGGAGCCACAAGAAAGGTTCCCTCAGAAAACCAGCAGTAAATGTATTGAAACGTTAATTTCTGGGTGAGCCGTGGTGGCTTCCCGACATCCTCCCTCCCCCAGGGTGATAGGGAGGTTCCATCATCTTAAACACTGGTGGTGGGTCTGCCTCCCTCCTTTCCCCAAGTGAGGGGGGGGAGGTGGGTTGAACTACTACCTTGCACTAGTTTAATGCATTTTTTTTATCATTTGTTTACATTGTTGGGGGAGTTCTTTTGAAAGTTTTGAACAACTTTACATAATAATATTTTCCTACTGCCACTGCTTCCTGCACCTCTCTGAGGGGGTAATATTTTCTTCTTATTTCTAATGTTTTACCATTGTTTTTCAAGTGCGATGTTATTATGGGCTGTCAGTAATATTATAGTATTTGTATGACAGAACACATAGATCATAGTATACTAAGTGATGGTGTGGGCACAAGTTGAGTGTTCCAAAGCTACATGATGCTCTACTCATGTTCTTTAAAGCTCAGGAAGATGTTTAAGTGAAATTATTGTTGTGTAAAATACATTTTGAATTTTTGTAGTGTTGGTAAATGTGCATACAGTTGATAAATGTAATGGTAAAGCAACTTGTGTACAAATTAGTTCGAAAGAAGGACAATGATATCTTTTCTACAAATGTAGAATAAAAATGAGTATGGTCTGTAGCTTTGCATTATTTAGTCTAAGTTAAGTTTATCATTGCATTTCATGAACTACCACTATATTTAATATACACAGTATATATTTATTTTTTCAGGTCTTGCAATGGCTAGAGAAATATCGACATGAAAAAATGGAACGAACACCAGCTAAAGCACGCAAGAACAAACGTGAACTGGATGGTTCGCCCGAGACTCATACTCCCCACACACCCTCTTCAGAATCTGACATAATGTCTCCACCACCAGTTAAACGTACGAAATCTCGCCGTGGTCTTGGTCCATTAATGGAGCAGCAACAAAATATTCCTGATAGCCGTTCAGCCACGGTTTATCAGACACATCTTACAGATGAAAATGTATACATGTCTCCTGAAAGTTACGGTGGAGATGAAAATAAGTATGGAGACTATCATCGCCCACAACGTCCGTTGCCAGCATCTCCAAATCATGCTCGTGTTTTGAGGAATACAGAAAATTTGCAGAGCCCTATCAAGACACACACTTACCGAGGATTTGATATGGATGGAATAAAGCCTTTGGTAGAAAGTGAGGACAATGTTTTCACATCACACATTTCTTTGAATGAGGATCTTGGCACACACGAGCCTCATCATATCTCGCATGAACCTGAGGTTGTTCTTGGAATGAATTTTCCAAATTCATTGGGACTAAACACAGATACCTTGGGACTTCTTCCAGATCACATTTTGGAATGTGATCAAGTATTGGTGGAATTACCTTGGCACATACCTAAAACATCAAATATTCTCACAGATGTTCCAATTGAGTTGTCAGATAAAAAGGCTTTAAGTGAGGGCTACCAACAAGAACAATTACCACAAGTAGTACTATCTCTCCCAGAAACACATCTTTCATCCAATGTTGTTACTGAAAGCCTAGATAATATTGTTGATGACAAATCCCCACACTCTGACAACTCTCCCCAGTTAGAGGAGACTTGGCGCATGAGACAGCCCAAAAAGAGATGGCTACGAGAAGCTCGTCTTGAGCAAGGGGAACTGGAAAGCCCCAGACACATCTCAGAATCTGAGAACCAAATCCGGCCCTCAGTTGTTGTAAAGGCTTCCTCTTCACAAGTTGCCCCAGTGATGGGTCCTCTTCCTAGAGGAGAAACCAAGGAGAAGTGGATGGGGGCCATGGCTCTTATACAACTTGCAGAGGTTCCGGAGGATGGATCTCAACCACTTAATCTTTCTACTGCACGATACACCACTCTTTAATTTTTCAAAGTGAATACATTTGGAAAACAGTGAAGCACTAAGACAGGTTATCTGCAGAAATAGCCTTGTCATGAGCTTATCAACTTGGGTTGTAAGTTGCTATGCATCTCCTACTGCTAGTCGTCTGCGCAATCAGTAACAAAAATGTCAAAATGCTTTTATGCTTTATTATAGTTTTATATTCTCCCATGTTACCTTTCAGTTTTCTTAAATGGAAATTATGGCCACATGTATAAATACCTGAATCTCCTTACTATAATTGTGCTTATAAATGTGGAGATTTATTCCAACGTTAATTAACCTTGTACCTGGAACATGCCTTTATTCAGATTTAGTGAACTTTATATTTTATTCGATTTGTTCTGTTTAAAGGCTACCTATAGTTACTACTAAAGGACTATATTTGATGTATATATTTTGAATTATGTTGTAGCTTTATATTGATTATATTAGTATCGATTCCCAGTCACATATGTACATGAATAAATTTATACATTAAAACTGTTTTATTGACCTTAAAGAAGAAGAGTCATTTATGTAAGGTTTGCAGGCAAGGAAGAGATGCAGTGTGAACAGGTGTTGTTAGATCATAGTCAAGTGCAGAGGTGGCGAACCTGTTTGAGACCACATGGCCAGATTGGGGACATGTAATATAATAATTAAAAAAAAAATGCCATGACCATGGTAATTATGAGCTGCAGAAACTTTGAAGACCTGTGTGACAGGGACCACCTTTCGAACAATATATAGCGAAAATTCGACATTACTGCTCCAAGATGTGAACACTTCCTGATACAAGTAAAATAGTCCAACTAATTTTGTTGCAAATTGTAAACTTTCGAGTTTGGATGGGCACTTGATGCATTTTTTGTAAATTAAAAAGGTTCAAAATTATTTTGTTTGGGAAGTCTTAATCAACATCTGGTACTAAATATATTGTTAACAATAAATTGCAAATTCTGTATACACTACAAATTAGCAGCCTGCTTTAGGATGAACCTAATTTCGTATTACAAAATAATTTTGTATTTATAGTTGAAATGTTTATTGTATATACACTACAGTATGTTATTTTGTCACTAAGTATGTTCAAATAAGTATTACCAATTTATATACTGTAAATAAATATACCGAGAACCAGTATGGGGGATTGTGCTCCCCAGACTAACTGTGAGTGGTAGTTTATTGTGCACCCCATACTCTTCCTGTGAGTGGTAGTTTATTGTGCACCCCATACTCTTCCTGTGAGTGGTAGTTTATTGTGCTCTCCATACTCTTCCTGTGAGTGGTAGTTTATTGTGCACCTCATACTCGTCCTGTGAGCTGTAGTTTACTGTGCACCCCATACTTATCGTATATATATATATATATATACACACACACACACACATACATACCACTGAAAACTCCTCACCCCTGAAGGATTTGAACCAAGACAGCCAGGGCCTCCATTAACCCTAGCATATCCAGTACTATACCAACTAGAACTAAACTGTAAATATGAAAACTAGACTACAAAAAAGGTTGGAAGTCACGAGACTTTAACCCAACCTCCCGACAGCACTTGGTGGTCAATTTTACTGTACAGATATTCCATGGAATCACCTCACTGTTGGGGCCACGTGAGTAAAAAATGCGAAGAAGGTTGAATGGTCCTCACGTGGGTACCTTATCTGTACCCTATAATTGACCATTGATACACAAATCACAATAGCATGATAGATCAAATGAACAAATCAATCAAATGAAGTTAAGGTAAATTTTTCCTAGGGCGCAGAGTGATCTGGCCGACAAGATCCGATCCTATCTTAGTGACAGACACCAATATGTAGCCATCAATGTTATAACCTCTCCCATTCTACCATTAACCTTAGGAGTGCCACAGGACAGCATCTTAGGACCTCTCCTATTTCTTATATACATAAATGATCTGTCTAATGTCTCTAACATTCTTAAACCTATATTATTTGTTTATGATACAACCCCCTCATCTACTCAGACCCCAACCCACACATATTAAATAATGTTGTAAATAATTAAAAAAAAGACCACTTATGGCTGTCAACCAACAAACTCACACTAAACATAGAAAAGACCTACTATATCTTATTTGGAAGCAAATCAACAAATGCAGTTCAGTTTCAGATAGACAATGTTAACATCAGCAATAAAAATGATGGAAAGTTCCTTGGCCTATACTTAGACAAGAGAGTCAACTTCAGCACCCACATACAACACATAACTAAGAAAGTCTCTAAAACAGTTGGCATACTCTTAAAATCAGATATTATGTACCTAACTCTGCTCTCCTCTCACTATACTATGCACTAATCTATCCCTATCTTACATATGGTATCTGTGCATGGGGTTCAACCACTGCAAACTACCTCAAGCCTATCATCACCCAGCAAAAATCTGCTATCAGAACAATAACTGCTTTCAGACAACACTCAGCCCCAGCCCCCCCCCCCCCTACTTAAATCTCTAATCATGCTAAACATAACCTCACTCTACACATTCTCTTGTGCCATCTACATTTACAAAACCCTGTTCTTAGATGCAAACCCTGCTCCGAAATTCTCCTTTGACAGATGTAATAGGACCCATAATCATCACACCAGAAATAAATATATCTTTGATATCCCCAAAGTCAAACTTAATCTGTGTAAACACTATGTAAATAAAGGGACCTAGTCTATGGAACTCACTCCCTAACGAATTGAAAAGCTGTCCAACTTTTGCCTTATTCAAAAACAAAACCAAAAAGTACCTAATTTCATCTTCATAGTTTCCTACCTAGTACTTTAAACTCGCACTGTAACTAGTGCTACCCAATCCCCCAATTTATGTACTTAAGCCGTATAACTTTATCATTGTGATTACTGCTGTCATCTTATATCATGGTTGTTATACTGAACACACATTGTGTGCTACCCAGTCCCCCAATATATGTACCTAGGCCATACAACTTTACCATTGTGATCATTGCTGTCATCTTTTATGTGCTATCAATATCTTTTAATGTGCCTACTAATCTCTGTCAAATTATCAATCAAGCTATCAATGTGATTTAATATACCTACTCATCTTTATCCAATTTTCTTACAATGTACCTGTTAACATTTTATAAATTGCTAGAATTTACCTACTTAATATTATCTGTTAGACTAAGGCCCTGCCGGAAACGCTGTGCGTACTGGTGGCTTTACAAGAATCTAAACACATCATGCTATGGTGAAGGTGAAGTTGGCGGTCACCTTACACTGGTAGTACAGCTGTTGCAACCCGTTCTCGCACTTTCTTACAGTCAATATTGACTTATTAAATACGTGCATATGTGACATACTAAACATACTAGTTTACCTCGAAAAGCTTCATAGAAAACACCGACCTTACCTAACCTTTTTAGTATGTTAAGATAAGCATCTTGCTTCGTAATTACAATTATTACTTAACCTATACCTATAATAGGTTAAGTAATAATTGTAATTACTCACTATATACTACCAGAGGAAGAGGACCATGGGTAATGCAATCACCAAAGTTATCTATAACATAAACCTTCAAAACCAGGCACGAGGGGAAGTGTCCCCGGCCCATATCCCTCTTGTGTAAGGTCATAAGAGGAGGACGTGCGGGTCCAGATGCAGACAGGTAACTTGCCTGGTCCTCCAGCCCCTAGCTGCCCCCAGGGCGCCATTAGTCGTGGCGCTGACAGACGAAGCGGCGCTTGAGGTGGCACGGGAGGCTGGCGGCATAGAAGCGCTTGTACCCGTCGAGGAACATGCAGGTACCGTCGGGAGCCTGCTGGAGGGTGAAGGGTCGAGGCTGGTCATCGCTCCAGATGAAGGAGGGCACCACCGACCCGTCCACCCACTTCCACACTCTCTCTCCACCCTCGCTCCTCTCTATCCCACCCACCCATATTGGCCACCTGCTCCCTGCAACACACAAATGGTATAACCCTTCAATAAATATATATAGTTTTAGAAGTAATTATAACGTGCAAGTGAGCATTGAACATCACTGTTTTATAACAGCAGTTCCGTCACTGTTTACCCATGCCTTGTAATTTGTAAGAAGACCCCTGTAAGAAGCAAGACCGCCGTTGTTCCGACCAATCCAGGAGGTTGGAGGTGAAAGGTCGGGGAGAGGGTACAGAAGCCAGATAACATACGTGTGCCGGACTCTCCATACAGGTCGTTGAGGAACCTCCTGGTCTTGATCACCACGGCGTCCTGGGCCAGCTCCGCGCCTCGCCTCCTGCACAACATCACAGTGTTACACACACAGTCAACAATAATGTGTAAAGATATATTAAATATGGGCTGTGTAGGAAGATCATACACAGCCCAGGTCAACGTGGGAGTAGAGCAGGAAGACACAGGACCTGGGCATACACAGTCCAGGTCAACGTGGGAGTAGAGCAGGAAGACACAGAGGACCTGGGCATACACAGTCCAGGTCAACGTGGGAGTAGAGCAGGAAGACACAGATGACCTGGGCATACACAGTCCAGGTCAACGTGGGAGTAGAGCAGGAAGACAGAGGACCTGGGCATACACAGCCCAGGTCAACATAACAGTCATAGATAAAACCCGACAACAGTGGGTATTAAAGTTGAGTGCTGCATATCACGATTATCTCAAACACACTTTATCTCCCTCATATCTTCCCAGTATGAAACAAACAAGAACCCGAACAACAGCTATAAGTCATCTATAGCGATTCATACTAAAATCAGTATGAAAATTGCCCGTTAGACACAAAGCTTACAATAAGATATTTCTAACATTCTTAAACCTATACTATTTGCAGACGATAGTAAATTTGTTTATTATGACCTCAACCCCCACAATAAATAATATTGTCAGTGATTTTAAAAGACGTCCAATCATGGATGTCAACCAACAAACTTACACTAAACATAGTAAAGACCTACATTTTATTTGGTAGTAAATCATCAAATCAAATTCAACTTCAGATAGACAATGTTAACATTACCAATGAAAATGAAGGAAAGTTCCTTGGGCCTATACATACACAACAGACTGGCTATGCTCCCACAAACAACACATCTAAAAAAATTGAAAAGTGGTCGATATACTTTCTAAAATCAGATATTACGTTCCCCACTCTGCTCTCCTCTCATTAAACCACGCACTAATCTATTCCTATCTTACATACGGTATCTGTACATAGCGTTCAACCACAGCAAATTACCTGAAGCCTATCATCACTCGGCAAAAATCTGCTATCAGAACAATAACAAACTAGTCTTCAGACAACACAGCCCCCTCTGTTTAAGTCTCTTTACATGCTAAACATACACTCGCTCCACACATTCTCCTGTGCTATCTACATGTACAAAACCTTGTTCCTAAATGCTAATCTTTAAATGCTAATCTACCTTTCCTTGATAGATTTAATAGAACCCATGAGCACCACACCAAAAATAAATATACTTTTGATATCCCCAGAGTCAAGCAAGTAATTATCAAAAGAAGGCACCAAACCGGGAAGGCTATGTAGCACCATCAAATGTGCGGAATAATCAGAGGGCGCTAAATATCACCAAGGATGCCAATACGAGAACAAAAACGCATAAGGCGAACGATATCAAAAGTATTCGAGTCGCCAAGAATTCTATTGAGGTACAGGTGACCGGGAGTGGCGGTCGGAAAGCAAGACACGCTCGTCCTGGAAGTCAGATCATTCACGACTGTCAGTTCGTAAAAAAATCTTGCGGATGGAGGCGGTTTTAAATTGTCCGCCGGTGGGAGCATTTCCCGCCTCCAGGAAACCGCCGGCCCCGGGGCAACACACCTCCGGGAGAGATGACCAGGGCCACCGGTTGACTTTGGGCCTACTTCAAGGTATTGACAGTACACCGGGATATTGCCAGCCTTCCGTTCCATGCCTCAACTACCTCCGAAAGTCTAGGGTAGCTTCCACCACGACCTTGAAGACTGCAGACGCAAGGTGAGCCTGGGTTAACTCTGTACCTCACACTCACGAGGAGGCGCCGCCATGACTGGCGAGGAAGGTCTCGACCATCTGGTACAACAGTGGATTAGTAAACATTGGTGAGAGCAACGGCAGACGTGTGGACTGCAGGTAAGAGTACTGGATGACCGTGTACTACTTAACCGAGTAGCAATACACCTTTATCAATGATTACTGAAAAATTACGAAAGCCTAGCAAGTGGGCAACTATGTTGTATACATTATTCTGGACTAATTAAAGATTGCTGGTAAGCTTAACTGCTAGTTAATAATCGCTCTACAGTGTGAGATTGTACTCACCTAGTTGTAGTTGCGGGTGTTTAGTTTCAGCTTAACCCGAAGTGGAACAAATTGGCGTGAAACTAATATCAGAAAGGCAATAAGCTTAATCAGTAGTTAATGAACACGCTTTGCAGCCTTAAAGATATTACCCTACTACCATTTTATTAACCATGTAAAAAAGTAAAAAAATAATTGTTTTAGTTTAAATTTATTACTCCTGTATATTTATTATTTTTAACTTTGTAATGTACATATAATTCATAGTTACATACGATTGTGATAAAATTGTAGTACGGCAAAGTAACTTTTGGGCCACTGTATGTGTTGTGATGGAAAAAAAGTAGTGTAGCTAGGTGTTCGGCAGTCCTCTCAATGGCTGGTGTCAATGCCCATTACATTAAAAAAAAAAAAAAGCTTAGCCGTTGTGTCCTGTGGCAAAGTAAGGCAAAACAAATAGTATGAACAATGAAACTTTAATTAAATTGAAAACAAATTATGAATAAGACAATTCCTTGGCTATGTACAGTGCAAACTCAAGATTATAAATTCAAAAAATAACAAAATAATATAGTGGTGACGTTACTCTAAAATGGATAAAGACAAAATGAAATTAACAGGTACTGAGAATAAACCTCTGGCTGGGAACATCTACTAATAGACAGAGCGTATATCAAATGGTTGTTTCAGCTTGAGAGCACAGGATATTCTAACTCTAATAGCTGGTGCAGGCCCAGACATCGGCTAGGTAGATGGCGCTGAGGTGCAGAAGTGCAGTGGTGCAGACGTCGATTCACCAATCAGAAGCGGGCAGGCAGGAAATGCTAGTTTGGTGATCGGCGACGATGGAGGGGGGAGGTGGAGAGGGAGGGGGGAGGTGGAGAGCGAGTGTGTGATACGTTTGCGCCTGGCAAAACGTATCTGACCAAATATGTACTACACTTGCTTGTAGTATCTAGATGTTGTAGATGTACTGAAGTAACATGACGATAGGAAAGAGCAGGCCAAATCTCTCTTGAAGGAGATTATCGTAACAGTGTGTATATATATATATAAATGAAATCTCCACATATATATATATATATATATATATATATATATATATATATATATATATATATATATATATATATATATATATATATATATATATATATATATATATATATTATATATAATATGTATATGTAATTTACATATGAACCACTATTTCTTTATTGGTCTCGACGAGGACAGGAAGCCGGCGGCTTGTCAAGGGTCCCACATATAGTATATCAACAATAAAAGCTTATGACTCATCATCTAGTAAGTTCTGTCTTAATTACCTATTCAGTGACTGAATCCTTCATATAATTCTGATCTATATTTGAATATATAGTTATCATGTGTATATATATATTCTTTGCACATTTACATGTACATTATTCTTGTATAATTATACCTTGTAGTGTGCATAAGTGCACATATACCCTAGAGCTGGGCTAGAGAGGTATATTGTTCAGATAGTTGATCATGAACTTTACCAGTGTTTGTAGTCATAGAGCTGTTTTATCAATTTATCCTTGTGAAAATGACAAGCTAAGTGTTGGAATACCTGCAGGTATATTGTGGTCCTGCAAGTGACGAGCCACTTCAGTCTTAAGGACCCTTCCTGTTACAGCCCATTACCACTATCAAGGTCACACAGGAGTGGACTTACAACCCAACATAGGACACTTGCCCTTAGCTAAGAATTAGTCGTTTTATTTTAGTACTCAAATGTAGTACCTACAGTATTTAATCTTCATGTTCTATGTATCTCCTCTTTATCAGCATAATCCTGGTATTTCCCCCACACCTCTCTCCATTTATCTTTCTTAGCTGATGATGTCCAAAGAGCTTGGAGAGGATGTGGGAGGAAGAAGGATGGGGCGGTGAAATTCTTGGAAGAGGATCTGGATGTTGAGAGAAGAGGCTTGAAAGTTCTGTGGCCTTTCCACTGCCGATTGGAGATGTTTTTTTTCGGTCACAGCCTGTAGCTTAAGTTCTTCTTAACAGGCAGGAGGCATGTGGTGAGGCGGTGTGATGTCGTCCTGGTTCATTTGAGGTGTTCTGTCTGGCTTGGAGGAGGTGTCTTCCCTATTGAGCTGGTGAGAGGTGAGTTCACTGTTGCTTGGTGGTGTCTTGGCAGGGCGGTATTCGCATGTACTTCCCAAATGACAGCGGTGATATTGGAGTTCCTATCGGATGTTCATATTTTGTGCCTCTGTAACCCTGTAACCCATTACCGCCCACAGGATGGGTATGGGGTGCATTATAAATGAAGTAAACTAAAAACTAACCTATCCTTATCCTAACCTTAATCTTAACCTAACCTAACATTAACCCAACCAAGGATAGGGAGCATATGAGAGGACTAATTATGTAGTATAGAGAAGATTCGTGCTAAAATCATTAACCTAACTTTCCGTTATAGTGAGTAACACACACACACACATTTCAAAGCGTTATATGACAAAGAGTGCTGGGAAGACGGGACACCACGAGCGTAGCTCTCATCCTGTAACTACACTTAGGTAATTACACACACACACCATCCTGCTTACCTTCCTTCTCTACTGTTGACCTGGATGCTATACATTCCCCAGTACTTGGTGCTGGTGGGGAGACTCACCTGCAGTAGTCCCTGGCGTCACCCCAGGAGAGCTTGAGGGTCGTCTCCTGCAGGATGCACATGCGGTAGGCGATCTCCTCGAAGGGACTCTCACACGGGCGGTGCCTGGCTGCTTCCTCTGCGCAGTCCAAGAGAAAAACTTTTGTTAGCGTAGCTGCAGGAAAAGTGCCCCCCCCCCCCCTCTGCTTCAGGTCATATTAAACATTACCTTACAAATTTTTCCCTAGAACACTATCCAATAATCACTTTACAGTCAATTCTCTAGTTCTTGTTGGGTAAACAGGTAAGAACAGTTATTGTTTGGTATTTAATGGTCCCTCCTCAGGTGAGGGTCGTTATAGCTACGACCGTCGTCCTCAGACGCAGTCATCAAGCTTTACATTCTGTGTATTAAAGATTGCTTTGTTCTCATATATAAATTAGTACTATTATATATTACATTTTCATGTATGGTTAGGCGTTCAGGTTCTGTTGGCTATTAGTTGTATTTAAAGTACGGAAGTGAAACATTTTCTGAAATTCGAACAGTGGTCATCAGTTAAGCAGTTTTTGAGAACTATTCGAACGTTATCTGCCGTGAGTTGAGTATAAACCGTTTTTCATTCATACAGTTGGTGGCCGGCCGCACCTCGGTGTAGCAGTGCACACCTCTACTGCACTACCGTAGTGGGCATCGTCAGTAGCTTAGTTGTGTGTTATGAGGAGGACCAGCATGGCCACCTGCTGGGCGTCATGGCTCGACGGGTTCATCCGTCCAGTCAGGCTGCACAACACATCTGCACATCGCCACTTGCTCAAGCCAATATATCAACTCCATAGTTAACACCTGGTCACATGTGTGCCCTCTGCCTTACACACACACACACACACACACACACACACACACACACACACACACACACACACACACACACACACACACACACACACACACACACACACACACACCTCCTCAAGATCCTCAAGGGAATCGACAGGGTTGATAAAGAGAGGCTATTTAACACAAGGGGCACACGCACTAGGGGACACAGGTGGAAACTGAGTGCCCAAATGAGCCACAGAGATATTAGAAAGAACTTTTTTAGTGTCAGAGTGGTTGACAAATGGAATGCATTAGAAAGTGATGTGGTGGAGGCTGACTCCATACACAGTTTCACGTGTAGATATGATAGAGCCCAATAGGCTCAGGAACCTGTACACCTGTTGATTGACAGTTGAGAGACGGGACCAAAGAGCCAGAGCTCAACCCCCGCAAGCACAACTAGGTGAGTACAACTAGGTGTGTACACACTCAGTCAGTCACATGTGTGTCCTCTACCCTCCAAACAACCAGCTCTTGTTCCTGGCCCAAGATTGTTTCAGATTCCAGTTTCCGGCCAAGACGGGGGCTAGTGCCGCCTGGCTACATCACATGACTGATGACACACTATTCTGGCCTCCCAGACGTCTCACCTGAGTTTACCTGAGTGCCACTAACACTAGTTAGTGTTATCCTCGACGAGAACAGGAAGCCGGCGGCTTGTTGAAGGTCCCCCCCCCCCTCCCATTTGCCCTGATGATCTTTTCCAGCTGTATTTTAAGTTAACTTTTGACATTTAAGGCTTCGGCGGGTAGGCGGTTCCATGGGTTAATAACCCTGTGGGTGAAGAAACATCTACTGTTCTCAGTTCAACATTGTGGCTTGTTGAGCTGGCAACCGTTGCTCCTTGTTTGTGTTATATCTCATCTTCTGAAGACATTGTCCGGATTAACATCTTTCAAATTGTTCAGTATTTTAAAAGTTTAAATGAGCTCCGCCCTGTCATGCCTGGTTTACAGTGTTGTTAGCCCCGTGGCCCTCAACCGCTCCTGATACATGAGTTGACTTAGCTCTGGAATTATTTTTGTTGCCCGGTGTTGCACTTTCTCCAGAGCAGCTATGTCCTTCTGGAGATGAAGCCTCCATCCTTGGATACAGTAACCCAAATGGGGCCGCACCAGAGATTGATACAGTTGAATCACTACCTTCGTTTCCGTAAAGTCAAAGGTTCTGTTGATTATCCCAAGGGTTTGGTTAGCTTTTGTGGCCGTTGTTCCTACCTGTTGTACAGCTTTCAGTGAGTGGTGGATTTTGATTCCAAGGTTCTTTTCTTCATTTACCTGCTGTAATGTTATTAATTAGGTAGTTGTGGCGTGGGTTGTTATGCCTCACATGCTGGATCTTGCATTCGTCAATATTGAAAATAATTTGCCAGTCTTCAGGTTAGATTTATATTACTTTGTTCCAGTTTGTGCTGCACATCCTAAAATGTTGGTATTTATAGGAACTATTTGGTCGAGTGAACAAAAGTGGACTTTTACAGCAAACAATTTTCATAATGCAGTGTTAATGTTGTAGAGGACACGATATACAGTAAACCAAAACCAAACTTAAACATTCCTAGTATACCTTGTATACCCTATATATGTACTATATTATCAGGCCTAGGATTGTTTGGACAGGTTTGGTAAGGTTCTTTATTTTAAATTTTCTTAGTGTGCCATATGGACTAATTCACTAATACAAAAGTGAACATTTTGGGGTCCATCATTCTATTTTTGTAGGATGAAAAAAAGTTGCTGTAGGTACTATAATTTTTGGAGGATAGGTTGATCATTTCTTACCTATTGGTCTTGTGGCTCCTACAGTCCTACTAAGGTCGTCCATGGCTTCCAGTACCTCCAGGAGGCTGCGGTACTCCGTGGTCACCTCCGGGTCCTCAACATTACCTGAAGTGTTGACGGATATTCCATGATGTCGCGCTACAGCGGCCAGAGCTCTGATGATGTCGTCCACGTTCTCTGGCGGCTTGTCTAGCGTGGCATTATTGTCAACATGTGCAAGTTGAGCAGGACTGTCGTGCGTCCTGCTGAGTGCCTCTAGACCTGCCAGCACCTGCATTATGGACGGTGGAGGCACAGCTGAGGTGGGAGGCAGGTCCTGTATGGCAGCTCGGTTAGGAGAATGTTCAGTCTGACTGTTTAGTGCAAAGAGCAGAGCCTCTAGGCCTTCCAGCACCTCCATAATGGCCTCTAAAGGTGCAGCCGAGGTGGGAGGAAGGTCATGTCTCGCGGGTCCAATAGTGGCAGGGTCAACCTGGCGGTCTTCGGGATTGAACACAGCCTCCAGGCCTGCCAATACCTTCATCATGGTCTCTGGAGGTGCAGTAGTGAGGGGAACAAAGTCCTGTTTAGCAGGTGCGCTTGTGGGAGGCTGAAGATGACGGTCTTCTGCACGGAACAAAACCCCGAGACCTGCCAGTACCTTTGCCATATTGTGGCCATCAGTGGTGGTGTGTGACTCCTCAGGTTCTGGTGGCTTCTGTACTATGTTGTGTTGTTGCTCGCTATCTACAGCTTCCCTCACACTTGTCTCGGATGTTACCACACGCCGGTCATAGTTAGTATAATTTAAGAGGGCAGATTCAGTGTTGCCTAAGCCGTCGGTAATCCCCTGATGACTGGCCTCGGGAATGTGTGTGTCAAGATCATTACCAAAGGAACGAGAGGCGGGAGCGGCGACGGCGGCGGCGGCGGCGCTGGAGTCGTGGACGACAACATGGCCGCCACCAGCTGGTGCAATCACTTCCTTGATTTGGTTTACTATGTTAGCGAGGCGCAGCTTCGTGCTCACTGTGTGGTACTGAATGTTCTTAATGATTTCCCACTGACCGCCCAGAGCTTCACGAATCTCTGCCAGAAACTGCTGAGCAGTGTGAGGAAGTGTAGCGGCCTCCAGGGCTGGTGTTGTGGCCAGGACTCCACACACCACACACAACACCCACACACGCTGCATGCTCCCCGTAGCCTCTCCACACACTTAATATACAACAATTTTGACGCAGTCGACCATAGCATCAAAAATCACAGATTTTAAATGCTTCCTGGGTCTATCGAACACCAGGGAATAGAAATCTCCATAGATTAGGGGGAATGCCAAGGTTTGAATGTTTCTGGCTAGACAAAATCACTACAAATTTGCCGTTTTTGAAAATCGTGGGAAGGTGGTGGCTAGCGCGAGTGTGGTGATGGTCAGTGTCCCCCGAGCTGTGATAGACTGAGGTGCTTCACTCCAGTATTGTCTTACGCGCTGATAAAACTGGTGACTGGAGAGATTACTTGGAGGTGCCTCCACCGCTCCCTCGCCACACTTCACACCTCTCACAAGTCTCGACCCACAATGTACCAAACTATATTTGTTATATGAAACATATACCTGAACTAAAACATTGTAATTAAAAACAAACCAAATTTATGAAGTACAAATTAATTCAACCAGATGTGAGTCCTAAAGATATTACCTAGTAGTAGGCATCCATCAGTCTCAGGAGACTATGGAGTTGCGCTCTGGTTGTCGGTCTGGAGTGGCCTCACCAGGGCGCAAAGCCAGGGTAGGTTGATTCGGGGGAGAAGTTGTTACCCAAGCAGCAGGTCCCCCTCTCCACCTAGTGCACGTTTAACTGAGGCGTAACCTACGCAAGCTCTGGACTTAAAAACAACTACAATACATATCCATAAACGTCTTCATAATATTATAAAATTCAGAAGAAGCTCACATTACGGAAAGAGTAAACAAAGTAGTTAATTATTGGATATTGGGACTGAATTAGTGTTAACTCTCCCTGGAGCACCATGCCTGGTGGCTCTCCTCTGTGTCATGGTACACACTGCCATCCACAACAACTGTATTTCTCACACACACGTGGACCATTGCGGCATTGAACTCTTCTCTTTGAATTACACACTGAAGTCAAATCAGTGTTGACGCTGAAGAAATCCAACAATATATCTTAATGATGTACTTTTTTTGCCCAGCAAAACATAAAAATAATTAAATAATTGCAATTAATCTACGCTGGAAAAATTATTACCAGCGTAGAATATGTTAAATTGATGGAACACTTGTTCACCGGAAGAACAATGATGGAACACAGGAAAAACAGTGATGGAACATTCATAGGGAGAGCAGTGATGGAATACTCACAAAGACCAGTGATTCAACACTCACAAAACTGTGATGCAACACTTAATAAAAGTGATGAACCACACGAAGAACAGTGATGGAACACACGAAGAACAGTGATGGAACACACTCACATGGAGATCAGTGATGGAACACTCACACAGGGAGAACTGACAAGTATTCATAGACCTGTGTCAATAGAGAGTTATACTCACCTCGGGGTGTCTGCGGGGGTTGAACTTTAGTTGTGGGATACCAGCCCCTTCCCTGCAGGGTGGTGGTGGTGGTGGTCGTGGGAGTCTTGATCAAGGTGACTGTTGTTGGTTTAGTAATGATCTCAGTCTTGCTCTCAGCTGGATTATAAACCAAGTTCTTCAGCTCCCCGATAATTTGTTGGAGCCCAGCATGATTATCTTGTGAGTTTAGATCATTAGGATGGGAAGGGCGGCGTTGGTCAGGCAGGATGTTTGTGTAGAGTTCGTGACCTCGAACCAAGGATTCCAGCGCTGCTATTTGGGTCATTATTCCATCCTTAGTACTGATGGAAGGTGTGTGTTCCACTGACTCCTTGCTCACCCCATGAAAATGTTTGTCAACAATTCGTGTAAGATCTTGCACGGCATCTTTCAGTACCAGCATGGTGAGGCTGGGCTCTCTGGACTCCTGCAGGTTGCTCTCTCCGTCTCCTGTATCAAAGTGGAGAGGAGGTTTGCTCTGTGTTGACGGCAGGTCAACACCTTGCTCGCTCAAGGCATCGTCAGAGTTCTTCGGATGGTGACGTTCCATGCTCACGAAGTTATCACTATATTTCTTCATTGTGCTAACAAATGCGAAGAGACCTTGTATGTCACTTTCTAACACTTGGCTTGCTTCGTGGTGGTGTGTGGTGGCCAGGGCTGAGGGCGGAGTGCTGCCGCCTCTTCTCTTCTCGTCGCTCTTGTGCTCATTGAGAATAGACAATAGATCATAAAGACCCATAGTATAATTATAGAACACGTTATAATATGTCTCTGTATCACTGTCTGTGGAATGAGCCTGGACATTGAGGGCATTTCCATGGTCAGCCTGGACATTGTGGTAGTGTAGGAGCCTATCACTTGCCTTACCATTGGTGAGGTCAGGTTTATGTAGGTCATGGCCAGTGTGGCCAGGGAGGTGTTGAGGCGCAGGAAGGGCCCGCCCAGCCATCACCAGGCACGCCACCACGCCTGCCAAGCTCCGCGCCCTCATGCTGACCGGACAAGACTAAGGTACATAGCGGGAGGCAGCCAGTCCTCAGAGCTCAACCTAACAATCTCTCTTCTTTTATCAGATCAGATGGAAATCGTGTGTGCTGTGGCCAACGTTGATGTATTTTATACAATACTTTAATATAGTGATCAAGGTACCCTGGTCACCATTGGTTCAGCGATAGTTAAGAACTAGTGACAGCACCTAACAAGCACTGGAAGTTGTTGGTGAACGTGGCCAATAGGGACACATTTCCCTTGAGGAGGTGAGAACAGCCCTTGGGGGGTAGACAGTGTGCTCACTGATCTCATTATCAAGCCATGAGGGGTAGACCATACTTGGCCCCTGACCTCATTATCAGGTGGCTACCCCATCAGAGTGGTAGCGGATCAGAGGAGTCATGATAGCCTATCTGAGTCGTCTTGGCAGCATCTTGAGTGGACGTGATAAACAGCTTCGTGGCTCAACAACGAGAGAATTTTGACAAAGGAACTTCCTCTCTTCTGTTAACGAACATTAGACGATTACATTTCTTTAATTTTATTTGTAGAAGAGCATTTGGCTCCATCATTACACCTGGCCATACACCTGTGGACATAAGACTGACCATCAAAAGGAACCTGTTGGAGTTGAATGTGACAAAGGCTGTTGGGCCTGACAGAATCTCACCATGGATACTGAAAGATTGTGCAGAAACACTGTGTCACTCTCTATGGTGTATAACAGGTCACTGGAAACAGAAGACCTACTGGAAAGCTGGAAGACGGCTAATGTAGTTCCAATATACAAAAAGGGTGACAGGCAAGAGGCCCTGAACTACAGGCTAGTTTCCCTATCTCGTATACCATGCAAGGTGATGGAGATCGTGATCAAAAGGCTCGTAGAACATCTGGATGGAAGGAGCTTTGTAACACACCACCAGCATGGGTTCAGGGATGGTAAATCGTGCCTCACAGGTTTAATTTAATTCTATGACCAGGCGACAAAAATTAGTCAAGAAAGAAAAGCATGGGCAGACTGAATTTTCTTAGACTGTCAGAAAGCCTTTGACACAGTACCCCATAAAAGGCTGTTACAAAAGTTTGAGAAACAGGCAGGAGTAAAAGGTAAGGTGCTCCAGTGGATAAGGGAGTATCTAAGCAACAGGAATCAGCGAGTAACTGTGAGGGGTGAAGGAGGGGGAGACATCAGAATGGCAAGATGTCACCAGCGGAGTCCCGCAGGGCTCTGTACTTGGATCCATTCTGTTTCTGACATGTAAACGATCTTCCAGAAGGTATAGACTCATTCCTCTCAATGTTTGCTGATGATGAAAAAATATGAGAAGAATAAAGACAGATGAAGATAGACAGAGACTACAGGACGACCTGGACAAACTGGAGGAATGGTCTAGAAAATGGCTGCTAAAGTTCAACTCAGGAAAGTGTAGAATAATGAAATTAGGCGAAGGGAGCAGAAGTCTGAACACAAGGTATCATCTGGGAGGTGAAATCCTGCAAGAGTCAAATAGAAAGATCTGGGAGTTGATATCACACCGAACCTGTCCCCAGAAGCCCACATCAAAAATATATCATCAGTGGCATATACTTAGATTGGCCAACATAAGAACTGCCTTTAGAAACTTGTGTAAGGAATCGTTCAGGACCTTGTATACCACTTATGTCACACCATTGCTGGAGTATGCAGCTTCAGCCTGGAGTTCGTACCTAGTTGAACACAAGACAAAGGTAGTGAAGATTCAGCGGAATGCCACCAGACTAGTCCCAGAACTGAGATATGAGCTATGAGGAAAGGCTACTGGAGCTAAACCTCACGTCCCTGGAAGACAAAAGAGTAAGGAGAGATATGATAACCAGCTACAAAATTCTCAGGGAAATAGACAGGGTGGACAAAGACAAACACTTTAGCACGGGTGGAACACGAACAAGGGGACACAGGTGGAAACGTAGTACCCAAATGAGCCACAGAGACATTATAAAAAAAAAAAATCATTTGGGTGATCTGTTATTCCAGAAGAGGTACCAACGCCTTACACATGGGCACAGTATGTTCCGGTAGTGCTTATTAAATAGAGAATTAGCGTTACCAACATTGATTGTTACCTGAGCGTTAGATTTTCCAGCGTTGCCCCGGGGGAAGGGAGGGGGGGGGGGGGGCCGGGGGCAGCTTACACCAAACTCAGAAGGACAATATTCGCCACACACGAGACAACGCCCCCTCTCCCGCATCAATTTAGATTATAAAGAGCAAATATTGCTTCCAAGGCGTGTCTTCCGCCAGGCGCTCGCTTGACTTATTGACGGTCAGTCACTGTCACCGCCGCGGCCCTCCTGCCTGGGTGGGGGGGGGGGGGTGTCACAGGTCACACGTCACAACACACACCGTACAGGAAAGGTCACAACACAGTGTACAGGAAAGGTCACAACACACACCATACAGGAAAGGTCACAACACACACCGTACAGGAAAGGTCACAACACACACCGTACAGGAAAGGTCACAACACACACCGTACAGGAAAGGTCACAACACACACCGTACAGGAAAGGTCACAACACACACCGTACAGGAAAGGTCACAACACACACCATACAGGAAAGGTCACAACACACACCGTACAGGAAAGGTCACAACACACACCATACAGGAAAGGTCACAACACACACCATACAGGAAAGGTCACAACACACACCGTACAGGAAAGGTCACAACACACACCATACAGGAAAGGTCACAACACACACCGTACAGGAAAGGTCACAACACACACCATACAGGAAAGGTCACAACACACACCGTACAGGAAAGGTCACAACACACACCATACAGGAAAGGTCACAACACACACCGTACAGGAAAGGTCACAACACACCATACAGGAA